ATGTCATACATCAATAATATGAAAAATAAACTTACAATATTATAATGAAAATGTAAGGTATGAGGTAGAATTATTATATAAAAAGGTAAGGTAAAAGATAAAATAGGATTATTTAATAATAAAGAAGGAAATATAAGAGAAAAAATAAGGTAACGCGACCACACCAAATCAATCGTTCCAAAAAGTGGCGTTTTTCATCATTACATAACGACAAATTTGACGATACGATACAATAAAATTTAGGTAACAATCAAAATAAACATTATATTTAAAGTAACAATACGATTTAATACAACATGTAACAATCATCCAAACAAGCCGTAAATCCTTGCGCTGAGACACATTTCCTCTTAGTCCTACGGATTAGTATTAGCTTTTAGTCGACAACTTCTGCTTTGTTATAAATAGAATTTTATTTATGGTGAATGTCTATATTTAGAGAGAGGGTTTATTACTTGGTGGCTAAGTCACTTCCCCCCCCCCCCCCCCCCCTATAAATAGAGGGGTCCTATTCCATTGTAAATCATCCCAAAATCAATAAGAATCTTCTCTCTCTTTTTCTCTGCAGTACTCTTCTTCTTCTTTTATTGTTTCATAACACGTTATCAGCACGAGACTCTAACCAATTGAGTAGAAGCTTTGGTATTGAGCATAATGATTGTCAATTATTCCATGAACTTCCTTCATGATTAAATTCTGGATTTAAGGTAAGTATTTTATTTATTTTTCTCTTTTAGATTCTTGACATTCTATAATTTGATTTTAAATACGAGCAAAGACAATAAATTTTGATTATAACTCTAATGGAGTTAGTAAGAAATTACAACCACCCAAAGTGGTAAAATAGTTATCCCTTGCCATGATTGTGGGCAAAGAATTGAAAACTCGTCCCATTGAATTTGCTCCATTCTCATTCCCTTAAGAGAATGTGATAGCAATATGTGATAAGTCTGAAAGAAGACAAAATTATTACCATGAAGGTATCAATGGATGTGGACGTGGCAATAGACGAAATTATAATCGTCATCATTGTGATAATGAGAATAATAAGGATTCTCAAAATAATCCTTCACTCTCTGAAAGTAATATTTGTCATCGATTTGACATGAGATTTTATAAAGCACATATAGATGATTATGGTCCATTCATGATGTGAATGTGACAACATCTGATTTACGAATACATATTCATTCTTGGAGGAATATGAACGTGCTAGTGGTAGTGAATATACCACGCTCACCTCTAGAAGGAGGTTTGAGAGGAAATAAGAAAATAATGTCATTATTATGGCATAAATGGTCATTGGTCACGTACTTATTGTACGCCAAAATATTTTGGCATTGTGATTATTAAAAGACAATGGTAATGCAAGAAACATATCTTGCACATAATTTTGACCATAACCATAATGGTATAACTTTCTCTTTAAAAGAGATATTCACCATATGGATGTTGATGAATATGTGGTACTACAAAATTAATTGAGAACTCTGCAAGAGCCAATTATACTATTTTGGAGAAACACAATTAATTACCAATAAGGTATTGTGTTGTAGTAAGTCTCAAAGAAACTTATTCAGTTTCCAAAGTATACGCGAAAGCGATTGATTATATTGAGACTATAAATAAAGGAAAGATTTAATATCTTCTATTACTACAACTTGTAGCGGGGTAATATGTATGTGAAAAGCTACCCGCTTTATTCTCCAGTTTGTACTACACAAACAAAAGAATGCCACAATAAAAGGAAGTTTATTGATATAAAAATCCATATCATAATAAACTTGGAGTTTATTGATAATTGCACACGTCATGGTGTAAATCTCAAGTTTATCAATATTGATAATTTATTCAGTTGGCATAATTGGTTTACCCATATCAATTTAAGTATGACGTGCAAAAATAAAAGAGAATTCACATGGGTAAATATTAAAGAACTAGAAAGTTCTTTGCAAATTCTATTATGTTGTCTGTTCTCATTAATTAATATACCAATTAAAATTGGGATTGAATCCCATGAATGCTGAAAATATCAAAGGTGAATATGGACCCATTCACCTGCCATGTATACCACATAAGATGCATCTATGAGATGGTTACATGTGCGATTATTAATAACCCGCAACATGGTGTTTTGCAAGGTAACTTGCTCAATAATTTAATTTCGAGCATAATTTCCAGATTTTCTATTCAAGAAGTTCATCTTGATAAGTTGTTTTACATCACAGTTGGTATAGCAAAATAATTTATTAAGTGCCTCTACTTAATAGCTAAACAATTGCTTATGAGAACAAAGTCATTTATATCAGTTTGATATACGTTATATACGAAAGTATATTATTTTCTCCCCTCACAAGTGGTTCAGGGTCAGGAACCAAATAATTCCATCTTATTATTATTGATGTGCGGTGTATATTTTGATTAACACCATAACGCACAAAGATGGGTTCTCAAAGTTGAGGAAACAAGTTAGTTTTTCTAACATGAGGGGGAGACAAGATACAACAGTTGAGAAAAAGTTACATGGAATGAATTATCATTTATACATCTAGATCCCCGAATAAAATAATATGAACTTGAAGTTCATAAAAAGATAATTCATCTGCAATATATTGCAAAGCATGCCAGACGCATTTGCTGACCCAAAGAAAGTAACTATATTCTCATTGCAAATGCTCATATTAAGTCCTAGAAGGACAAAGTCTATGGTACGCTTAAAGCATATAGACAAATCGGTTTCAAATAAACTTCTTGATAAAGAAGATGAGCAAATGATCAAAATGATCATAATAAAGGAGGCAAATGATCTAGAAGATTACATGACATAATACTTCATTAAATCTCAGGAGAGGTTTAGGTACCTGAAATGAATGAAGAGATCTCTATGTTATGTCTTTATGAAAAAATATTGAAACCGCTATAAAATGTTCGTCGACGACATCTATGTTAGCGCTAAGTATAGATGAGGATCTTAAGTATGTCGAATATAGACACAAAAATACTGGACAAATGAAAGAGACACAATTCGAATAGAATTTGTTTCATACGAAAGACATATAGTTTTGGACCTTCAGTTCAAACACTTGAAAGTATGAAGCCAATGATATGTGCAATCAGTTTTCGATATCTTATTTGTCTAGCATGATATGAAAACTTGATATGCATCTAATTAAAGTCTATTATATGACTTATATGACAATCCTTGAAGGATTTAAATCGCTTGAAGCATATACAATTCTTGATCTTGAAGTACTACTTCCTCAATGCAATTTGTGCACAAATGTATCTTGCTATAACTATATGCATGATAATATGATAGCAAGAGTTTACACCTCTATGTGAAGATATTGAACTAACGATTCCAACAAGATCATATGAAGACAATCCATCTCTATCAAGAATGATGATTTCAAGGTGCAATATATTCATTCAAGTTAATATGGCTGATTTGTTTATCAAATATCTACCAAAGATCTTTTGAAGATGGTGCACAAGATTGGAATGCAAATGCTTAAGGATGTGAAGTGATGCTCTCATGAGGGGGAGTTAATACGCGTTGTACTCTTTTTTCCTTACAAGATTTTGTCCCACTGGGTTTTCCTTGCAAGGTTTTTAACGAGGCAACCAAAAGGCGTATTATTAGATATGTGTACTCTTTTTCCTTTTCTAGAATTTTTTTTCCCATTGGGTTTTCTTTTAGTTAAGGTTTTAACGAGGCACATTATCTGTTGAATAGACATTCAAGGGGGAGTGTTATAAATAGAATTTTATTTATGGTGAATGTCTATATTTAGAAAGATTCTAGGGTTTATTACTTGGTGGCTAAGTCACCCTCCCCCTATAAATAGAGGGGTCCTATTCCATTGTAAATCATCCCAAAATCAATAAGAATCTTCTCTCTCTTTTTCTCTCCAATACTCTTCTTCTTCTTTTATTGTTTCATAACATGCTTTTAATTTTTGGATGACTTTGATTTTAGGAGCTGAAAGGTCCTTTCTAGGTGGTCAAAGAGATAAAGTGCTTAACTAGCATTATAAACTATAGTTATAAACTATTATGCCAAAGAAATATGATTAGTCCTTATAATTCTGTAGGGTAAGGACCTGAAAGTATTCAGGGAGTGGTTCTCAGTATGATTTAATGGAATGAATTATCAGCATTCTTTGAATAAGATTCAAAAAAACAAAAACCCTTCACACTCTTTTTATTTGTCTTTTCCATCCATTTTACGTCACAAACAAGAGTTTGTTGGATGCACAAGGTTGGTGAAATCCAACGCTTAGATACTAGCATCATATTAATGCAATGAATGTTTAATATTAATCATATGAATGCAATGAATGGAATCCAACGCTTAGATTCTTTTCCTGGTCCATTATCACCAACTCCCTTAAAAGATTTATCTCGATCTAATATTACATCAAACCAATAAATGCAAGACATCACTTAAACATGGCGTGTTCAACATTATCATATGAATTGCCTGCACATTTGGTTGTGCCTACCTTACTATTTTTTTTCCCGAGTCAATTATTACCACCCCTCTTTAAAAGTCACTCTCATATTCAGCGTTTGCACCATATCGATAAATGCAAGACATATCTGGTAAATTACTTTTCACTTAACTTTGATGTTATATTCTCACTTTAAATTTGTAACTCTTTAGGTTAAATTACTTGTTAGGCGAACGCCAAGTGCATAAGTACTTCCCCTTTGGTAGTAGCTAGTAAAAAGGGCAGCCCGATGCATAAAGCATCCAGCATTCACGTGGAATTTGGGAAGGTCTACACCCCTAGAGGTGTGATGTAGACAACCTACCATAATGCAAGCATTAGTGTTTACTTTCACGGCTTGAACCGGTAACCTATAGGTCACACGGAGATAATTTTACCGTTGCTCCAAATCTCCCCTTCTCAGGAAGTAACTAGTCACTAAGAAAAATCATCTGAGACTATACCTTATGTGCAATTTATCTACACAGGAAATTTGCAAGGCAACACTTCAGTACTCCTGCCTTTCTTGAAGGAGAAAGCAAATAAACAATTGATAACAAAAATTACAAAATTCTTTAATCGTATCGCTTACAAGTTCTTAACTAAATTTTTTTTAAAAAAAAGCAAAGAAATTTCTACTTAACAAAGACAACACCCATTACCTGGTATGGCAGAACTAGAAGACAATCTGCTGCTACCAAAATCTTAACTAGAAGCTCCCCTGTTAACTTCTGCTAACAAGTATACCTTTCTCGGCCTTTTGGCTAAGATCACGTGTAGTAGAGCTTCTCCTAACAGTAAATAATGAAAGAATTGAGTTGAACAAACACAAGCTACATCTGTACACGATGACTGCAAATCTATATTTTGTAATCTGCATGTAGGAAGCTTTCGTAAGGCGTTCCCTTGAGTGTCTTTTCAACATCAACCCAATTTTCGACTTGTGAAGACAAGGGACCCTTGTGTATCTTCACTTGACGGCTGTGAAGGTCCCTTCTAGGAACTTTTAGGAAATCTTGAACATCGTACAGTATCTGCAAGGAAAGCGGTAAACTAGAAAAGTAAGCATCGGGAACAAGATGAACTTTGATGCTATGGGACTACAAGTTCGGGGTTATGGTAAAATATGCGAACTCTTACTGTTTGATTTTTTATTATGTCTTCGTAGTACAAGATAATATGTCGAGTGCTATTGAAGTATTCCACGGCTTTTGTAGCCATGTCGTCTACTTGCTTCAGATTGGGGATCAGCAAAGTTGTGTTTATCGTAGGTTTGTAACTTGCAAGTATCTCAGCCTGAATAATAAAATTGTATTTCTTAAGACACCATAGCGACATAAAAGTATTGGTGTAGACAAGAGAGAAATAGAGTTGCGAAGACTGACCTCTTTGGGAGAATGCACATGAGACTTGTGGGTTCCATTTAACAGCTTAGCGTTCTGATCATAGGAATTTGCCAGCATTGAAACCATTCTGCGCAAAAGATTTCTTCTGAAGAGAAAGATAGCAGAAACTCCTCGAGTTCTAAAATATTCAACAATTTGCTCATGATGCTGCATCAGACCCTGTAATGACATTCAAATGGAAATGCAATCAATTGCATTCTCCATAAACATGACGACAGAAAACAGTTGAGAAGAGACAGGCAAAAGAGAGAAAAAAATGAAAAAGAACGCAAAGTCCCCCCCCCCCCACCCCCACCCCCACCCCAAAAGTAAGGCATTTACAATCTAATTTCGAATTTTCTGCAATTGCAAATGACTGGTGAATCCACACCCTGTAACAAAATAATAATAGTTTTAACGACCATCTTCACCTTTCAAACAAAAAAGGTCGAGGGGCAGGGTGCGGGTGGAGAAACTAAGAAGCCAAGCATTAAAACCTGGTACTTGTAACTATTTCATAGTAATCATATGTCATTAAAAAGAATCGAGATAACACAATGCGAATGATTCTTTTTAGACACATCTTACTCATTGTTCAAGCATTAGCTTCACATACACTCTATACAATATCTTTTTTGATCAGTAATCAAAACTTTTCATCAATCTCCCAATATCCATCCACTAAGAATGTATGATAGTGCTGGCCGCTGGGTGTTATTCATCAACTTTATACCATATCAAGCTCAACAGTCAAGAGATAAGCTACTTTCAATAACTAAATAATTCTACTAATCCTAAGATTACGTCAAGATGCCAAATATATACAACAACTATGCCTCAATCCCGAATTATTTGGGCTCTATACATCCAAAAAGCATATGAAAAAATGAAAACAAAAATGAATACAAAGTAATCAGCATATATCTCATAGAATTTACATCAGAAATTTCAATAAAGAGCTTACCTGATTAAGCATCCACTTGAGTCCAACTGCAGCTGTACATTCATTCTTGGAAGCGCTTGTGAAAAAGTCTAGGTTATAAAGTTTGTCCAGCGTATCCAAAATTGTTGACACGTTACTTTTCCGGACTTTAACAGAAAAAATCTCCCCATTAGAGCTTATATTCATATGACTGTTTAACAATGTCTCAAACCATCCACTACCAGATCTCTGAGTCGATAAAATTGCAAAATACCTTACAGGATTGCAAGCACATTCTGCACTGAATATATAACAGACAGCAACTCAGTAATTTTATCCACAAAGAGAAACCCAAAACATTAGAAAAAAGGAATATTAAATGTCTCACCGGCTAAAAGTCTTTGGCTTGGGGAAGTGCACGTAAGATTTTTCTGTAGGTTCAATGTCAGTTGCCTCACATGGCTTTTCAACCACATGAACACTTAATAACCGTCCGCTGGAACGCACACCAATTTGTTTCAAGCCGATTGAACATATATAAACTCCACATACCATTGCGAAGATTAAGACCACCAGTCTCAACATCAGTGGAGATTTCTTTGGTGGCTTTATGATGAAGGAGTCCTGAATTGAATCAGAAGATAAACTGCTAAGGACTCTCAAGTCTTCTTTAACTTTTTTAAATCATCAATCTCAGTATAAAATAAGCTGCTAAAAAATGTTATCAAACGATCGATCAATCAAGCACGCCTCAATCCCAAACTAGTCTATATCAACCCTTGTATACATTCCACTAGGCTAATCTCGTTCCAACTTTTTTGTTCTCGAGAATCCTAAGTACCACGTAATAAGTAATAGGAGCTCCTCATAAAAATATGACAAAAATCAAGATCAAAGAGCATATCAAAAGGGGTCATTCAATCAAAGTAAACACTACAATCTAGAGTATCTTAAGGCATTTCACAGCCTAGAGAATCCATATCCGTCCTACATTCTTTTAATGAAAAAGATAGATGATAATCCAATCTAACATTACTATTGTACATATTTTACAATGATAACTAAAGAAAGAGACAAGGAATAAAAAGAGAAGCTTGAGCTTACTCTCACTAAATGCTAACAATAATTAAAAGTCCTAAACTTTAAGCAACTAGAAGACAAATTAGTGTGATGCAGAAGAATCTCAGATTCTCATTGTACAAAACTGAGCTTAAAACAAATTTTAAGCCTAAAGAAACAAAAAAAACAATAAAGAGAAAAGCTAAGTTTCCTGCTCTTAAATATTAATAACAACAAAAAGACCAAAACTTTAAGTAAATAATCAACAAATCTCTAAGGTAAAGAAGAAACCCAAATCAAAATCCAAAAAGGAAAAAGAATGAAACTTTACAACCAAAATCGAATAATCAAGAAAATAAAAAACAAACCTTGGTGAAAAAACAAAAATCGTCAGCCATATTTGGGGTTAGCTCAGTTTCAAATATTCTTTCCCATATTCTTCTCAGCTTTATTCATCTCTATAGATTCCAAACACATGCATTACATATGTTAAAAGAAATATATATGAAGAACCAGAAAATAAACCAAAGATATGAGCTTTTTTGTTTCTCGTGAAGAACAATGTAATGTTTTTGGATTTATTGCTTAGATTTGTTTTCAGATTTGCAGCTTCTTTTGTTTTCTTTTTCTTTTTCCTGTTTTCCTGCGTGCAATTTGCCATTGGAAAAAGAAGTGAAAGGAATGGAAAGGGACTGTCAAAAACGGTGTCGTTTTGATTCTGTGTTGATTTTGTCAAGGGAATCAAATCATTCTTTTTTGAATTTCTTTAATGATTATAAAATATTGGTAGTACTAATAAATTGCCGTTTGCTTTAACGGCAGAGAACGCGACTTACGAGGAATACTCACGCCTTTCATTTTCTGACATTAGCTTTTTAATATCCAAATCATTATTCTTTTGAATTGGAAGTAATATCTACTTATTTAAATTCAAGAAAAAAGCCTCTTTTATTAATAACTAATAATGGTATTTGAGTAGGAGATTGGCATACTTAACATGGAAGATACTTGTCTCAAAAGCCTATGCATTGAAATTAATACCAATTTAGATAAGAACGTAAATAATAGAAGCACTTAATTCATATAAGCTATAGTAAAAGTTAAGGTTTATATATATATATATATATATATATATATATATATATATATATATATATATATAATATAATAAAAGAAGAATATTGTAAAGAAATAGAGAGAGAATTCTTATTGCTTTTGGGATGAATTACAATGGAATAGAACCCTCTATTTATAGGGAGAGGGTGACTTAGTCACCAAGCAATGAACCCTAGAATATCTCTAAATATAGACATTCACCATAAATACAATTCTATTTATAACACTCCCCCATGAATGTCTATTCAACAGATAATGTGCCTCGTTAAAACCTTAACTAAAATAAAACCCAGTGGAAAAAAAATTCTAGAGAAGGAAAAAGAGTACACATGTTTAGAAATACGCCTTTTGGTTGCCTCGTTAAAAACCTTGCAAGGAAAACCTTGTAAGGGAAAAAGACTGCAACGCGCATTAACTCCCCCTGATGAGAGCATCAATTCACATCCTTGAGCCTTCGCATCCCAATCTTGTGCACTAGCTTCTTGAAGGTTGACGTCGGCAAAGATTTGGTGAATAAATCCGCCATATTAACTCCAATGAATATGTTGCACCTTGAAAATCCTCGGCATCACATTATCATGCTTATAGTTATAGCAAGATACCTTTGTGCACAAATTGCACTTAGGATGTGGTCATTCGTGACCAAAAAATTCTCCAAGAATTGCATATGCTATCAACATTTTAAATTGTTCATGGATTGCCATATAAGTATAGTCAATAAGCCATATAAATAGAGTTTAGATTTACATCAAGTTTTCATGTCATGGCAGACATATAAGATACATAAAGGTGATAGCACACACCATTGACTTTATACTTTTAAGTGTTTGAACTGCAGGTCCAAAACTACTTGTCTTTCATATGAAACCAATTCTATTTGAATTGTGTCTCTTGTATTTGGATAATATTTTTGTATCTTTATTCGACAGACTTAACATCCTCATCTATATTTAGCGCTATCATAGATGTCGTGGACGAAAATTGTATATCGGTTCGAACCTCCTTATTTTTCATAAAGATATAACATCGAGATCTCTTCATTCATATTTTGAGGTACCTGATTCTCTCCTAATATTTTATGAAATGTTATGTCATGTGATCTTCTAGATCACTTGCCTCCTTATTATGATCATTTTGATCATCTGCTCATATTCTTTATTAAGAAGTTTATTTGAAACTGATTTGACTATACGCTTTAAGCGTACCATAGACTTTGTCCTTCTAGGACTTAATAGGAGCATTTGCAATGAGAATATAATTACTTTCTTTGGGTCAGCAAATGCGTCTGGCATGCTTTGCAATATATTGAAAACGAATTATCCTTTTATGAACTTCGAGTTTATATTATTTTATTCGAGGATCTAGATGTAGAAATGATAATTCATTCCACGTAACTTTTTCTCAAATGTTTATCCTTTCTCCCCCTCATGTTAGAAAAACTAACTTGCTTCCTCAACTTTGAAAATTCACATTTGTGCGTTATGGTATTAATCAAAATATACCCCGCACATCAATAATAATAAGATGGAATTATTTTGTTCCTGACCCTGAACCACTTGTGAGGTGAGAAAATAATATACTTTCATATATAACGTATATCAAACAGATATAGATAACTTTGTTCTCATAAGAAATTGCTTAGCTATTAAGTGGAGGCACTCAATAAATCATTTTGCTAAATCAACTGTGATGTAAACCATTTTATCAAGATGAATAATCTTGAATAAAAAATCTGGAAATTATGCTCGAAATTAAATTATTGAGCAAGTTACCTTGCAAACACCATGTTGCGGGTTAATAATAATCGCACATGTAACCATCTCATAGATGCATCTTATGTGGTATACATGGCAGATGAATGAGCCCATATTCACCTTTGATATTTCCAGTATTCATGGGATTCAATCCCAATTTTAATTGGTCAATTAATCAATGAGAACAAGCAAATAAGAGAATTCGTAAAGAACTTTCTAGTTCTTTAATATTTACCCATGTGAATTCTCTATTATTTTGCACATCATACTTAAATTGATATGGCTAAACCAATTACGCCAAATGAATAAATTATCAACATTGATAAACTTCAAATTTATACCATGACGTGTGCAATTATCAATAAACTCCAAGTTTATTATGATATGAGTTTTTATATCAATAAACTTCTCTTTATTGTGGCATTCTTTTGTTTGTGTAGTACAAACTAGAGAATAAAGCGGGTAGCTTTTCACATACATATTACCCCGCTAAAGTTGTAGTAATGGAAGATATTAAATCTTTCCTTTATTTATAGTCTTAGTATGACCAACCGCTTTCGCGAATACTTTAGAAACTCAATAAGTTTCTTTGAGACTTGCTACAACACAACGTCTTATTGATAATCAATTTTCTCCAAAATAGTATAATTGACTCTTCTAGAGCTCTCAATTAATTTTGTACTACCACATATTCATCAACATCCATATGGTGAATATCTCTTTTGAAAAGAAAGTTATACCATTATGGTTATGGTCAAAATTATATGCAAGATATGTTTCTTGCATTAATGTTATTCTTTAATAATCACATTACCAAAATATTTTAGCGTGCAATAGGTACGTGACCAATGACCATTTATGCCATAATAATGACATTATTTTCTTATATCATCTCAAACCTCCTTCTAGAGGTAAGTGCGTGGTATATTCACTACCACTAGCACGTTCATATTCTCCCAAGAATGAATATGTATTCATAAATCAGATGTTGTCACATTCACATCATGAATTGACCATAGTCATCTGTATGTGCTTTACGAAATCTTATGTCAAATCGATGACAAACATTAACTTCATAGAGTGAAGGCTTATTTTGAGAATTCTTATTATTCTCATTACCACGATAATGACGATTATAATTTCGTCTATTACCACGTCCACGTCCATTGATACCTTTATGGTAATAATTTTATCTTCTTTCAGACTTATTACATATTGCTATCACATTCTCTTAAGGGAATGAGAATGGACCAAATTCAATGGGATGGGTTTTCAATTCTTTGTGCTCACGATCATACATGACTTTGATCATGTCAAGACATAAAATTTTACCACTTCGAGTGGTTATAATTTCAAACTAACTCCATTAGAGTTATAATCAAAATTATTTTCTTTGCTTGTATTTAAAATCAAATTATAGAATAAAAGAGAAATATACGGTAAAATACATACCTTAAATCCAGAATTTAATCATGAAGGAGTTCATGGAACAATTGACAATCATTATGCTCAATCCCAAAGCTTCTACTTAATTTGTTAGAGTCTCGTGCTGGTAACGTGTTATAAAATAATAAAAGAAGAATATTGCAAAGAAAGAGAGAGAGAGAATTCTTATTGCTTTTGGGATGAATTACAATGGAATAGAACCCTCTATTTATAGGGAGAGGGTGACTTAGCCACCAAGCAATGAACCCTAGAATCTCTCTAAATATAGACGTTCACCATAAATATAATTTTATTTATAATATATATATATATATATATATATATATATATATATATATATATATATATTT